CTCCCCCCAAAAAGAAAAAACCCTAAAGACCCTCTCAATTCTCTCATCTCCCTCACCAAATTCCTAACCCTATCCGCCCCCAAATCCTTCACCTCCATCGGCCGATGGCGCCGCCTTAAACTTCCCCAATCTTCTCCAAATCAACACCCTATACTCCTCAACCTCCCCTCATTATCAAGCCACTATCATATTCCCCAAAATCCCCACCGGTTTTTCTCAAAATCAGATCTAGAAAATAGAAAAATCAAGTTCCTTGTCCTCTTATTTTTCGGCGAGTTTCAAGACTCGTCTTTGGCTCGAAACTTATGCTAACAATTGATTAGTGTTAATTTTGGACCATTTCGAAGAGGTTCAGACTTCGTATTTGGCCAAGCTTTTGTCAAAAATCATTCTTAGGTAATAAATATGCCCTTCGTTTTTCCTTCCTTTGGTTAACTGTTATTTTACCTTTTTGTTTTGATTTGGTAGAAAATCTGTTTAGCATGTTAAAAGATTGGTTTGGTCTTGTGATTTGCATAATTAGGTTAAAACGTTCATTGCATGATTGTTGAAAAATAATTTAGGATTAATATTGCCTTTTCTTTTGCTTTTTTGCTATTCTGACCGGATGGATGTTAAATCCGGTCAGATTAATGTCCCTTTTGTTTATTTTGTTTTGTCAATATATTTTTTGGATTATTTAATTACTTAAAATAGTTTTAAAAGTTGAATATTTGTTTTGTACTGTGATTTCTGATTTGTCTGAGTCTCTGTTATTTTTGAAATTCAAAAGAGGGGGTCTAAAAGAGAATAAGGAAGTTTAGGGCATATAAAACAAAAAACTAGGGTGTTTATTTGTGTTAAGCAGAACTTAAAGGGGTTAATTTGAAAGTAAGAATAGATAAACTTTAGGTAAAAATATCAGAAGGTTCTAGTATTGGATAGTTGTCCCTTTTTTGGTGTGGATAGATGCTGAAAATTGGTAAAAAGGACAGTTGTTCCAAGTCTGTTGAAAACAAATGTTGTACTATTCTTATTTACAGTTGGCATTTCTGATTTTTAGGAGAAAATATTCTCTATTATTCCTACCCTTATGCATTTTTCTTACACTCTATATAAAGAAATAACCCTCACTCATAAGGGGAGGAATTCTTTTCAACATATTCACTCTCAAAATAGGCACACACAAATACTTAGACAGAAAATTTCAGAATTCAATCTGGATCTTCTCTACTGATTTTAACATCAGATTTCTGCTGGAATTTACTGTTTTGGTTGTTGAGTTTGCTTATTCTTTGAATCAAGCTGTTGTGAGATTCTGGGTTTAGTTGTCCCCAAATTCAGAGATTTATCTTTTTGCCCTTGTGTTCTTTTGCTCCTTGCTGTTTCTTAGGTATGTAAACCTGCTGCTGTTTTTGAGTTATATGAAAATATCAGGCTTGTTCCATTTGGAGTTACCTGTTATATTTTGGTTGGATTGTTCTTGTTTGCTTGGCTTTTTCTTCTTTGTATGTAAGCTGAATGCTTAAGTTTGATGTATTAACTACATAAAGGTTCTATTATCCAACCTATGAGACACATGTGGATTTCATATATTTAATGATAAAAAGGTGTTGTGAATCTGTTTTGTCTTCAACTAAAATTCAGTTTATGTGTAGTATTGAATATTTCATGTTGTCAGTTTAGTTATGAACTTCTAAAATCTGAGTCTTCCTTTTTCTGTGTCCATAAGATGTGCAAGTTTGGTTTCATGTGGCTAAAGTTGGTTTATCACTACTGAAGGTTGTTTTGTTAGGTTTAAATTATTTTTGCTTGATTTAATAATGAAGAGTGTTACAAAACTATTCCTTCAGTCAAAACCTAGATTTGTTTTAAGAAAAAAGAAAACGTTAAGCATATAATGGAAATAATGCTATTGCTTTATTTGAGTGTTAGCTCATGAAATTAGTGTGTAATTTTGATTTGATATTGGCATGTGAAGGTCAAAGCTAGGCAGTAATTAAATTTGATCACCAATTGATCAAATCTATCACTGATTAGATTTCAAGCCAACCGGGTAGTAATGAAGGGAGTATCAGGATCCCTGCTGGTTAAATCAATTAGCCCAGACGGGGTCAGAATCAGGCCATAACACTTCACATAAATGTAATTTATCTAGTGCATCAAGTGCAATCAGTAGGACTATGCAATGTCATTTCTTATTATTAATTATAATATAATTGAAGTCTGTCGTATGAGTTTCTATCCATATTATACATTTTTCTTTTGGTTAGTCATTTCTTGTTTTAACTATTTATTTCAAAGCCTATGTGATTCTGTATGATCATTGCTTTTGAATCCCTAGGTGAAGTACGTTGTCCCAAAAAATGGAACCTATTTGAATGTTGCTTGGGCTCTGATAGAGGCCCATCTCTGTTTCTTCTTCTGATTGTATCAATTAAGGCTTGGTATAGTCTACTGCAGCTCGGACGCATTTAATGCCAAAGATTCATTTCCAAACCATTGATCCATGTTTTGTATCCATGTCAATTCATTTGTCCCAAAACAGAATTAATGCTAGACATATCTATTAAAGGTGATATTGTTGAGATGAACTTAGACTCCTTCTGTGACGCATTCTTCATAATAATAGAATCAAATTACTTCACAAAGTGTTTCAATGATAATTCATTATACATAACGTAACCTAAATAAATACCGTAACTTAAGATCTCATAAACATTCGTAGTTTGCTTTAGGCGCGTTTAAGTAAATCATCATGGCTATGGGTACGGTTACCGTGGCATAGTCGTGATAAATAATTCTCAAATTCTGGTGCACATTTCATGTGATCCGACCACAACTTCGAACAATAATAAAATACACATATTGTAGATTATGGGTACAGTGCTCGTGACATGATTCGCAACATGTACAAAAATAAACAAGTGTACGACAATCGTAACTTGTTCTAGAAATAACTCCATAAATAATTAAAAGCGGTGTAAAATTGAAAATGCACAATAGGTTTAAAACATGTAATAAATTAGATAATTAGGCCAATTATTAATAGTTGGGTGACCGTGCTAAAACCACGAAACCCGGGAATGCCTAACACCTTCTCTCGGGTTAACAGAATTCCTTACCCGGTCTTCTATATTTGCGGACCAAAAATAGAGTCAATTTTCCTCGATTTGGGATTTAAAATAAACCGGTAACTTGGGACACCATAAATTATTCCAAGTGGCGACTCTGAATTAAATAAAATAATCTCATTTCGATTAATGTCACTTAAATTGAAAAAACT